TTACTTATAATAATAATATAAAATAATACTTGCTTACTTAATATAATCCTTATACTTTCTCTTATTTTTATATTTTTATTAGTTTTTTAATCCCTGTTTTTAGCTTATTTAAGCTAGCTAATCCCTGCTTACTAATACTAATATTAGTAAGTAAATTTAGCTCTATTTTAGCTTATTAATTATATTAGCTAATAATAGCTTATAAATTAATTAATACTATATATTACACTAATTTTTAAAATGTAATATAGTGTAGTAAAACTACACTATACTATACTACACTAAAATTCACTAAAAACTACAAAACTACACTACTTCTAATACTCTAATAAACTCTTACTAAGTAAGCTTAAAAGGCTTAAAGCTTATAGAATAAAGCCTTCTTATCTTAGTATCTTAGCTTAAGGTATATTACCGCTAATTTATTAAGTCCTTTAAGGTGTTTCAATATTAAGTGGTCTCTTACTTAATAAGAAGAGTAAAATTTATTAAGCCTTTAGCTTATAAGCGTACACTTATTCTAAAAGTAAATAAAGTATTAGTTTATATTATAGCTTTAAGAAAACTTATTAGTTTATACTTTTACCTTAAACTTTACACGCTAGATTTTACGCTCTCTTTTAAGAAGTATTATTATATTTATAGTATAAATATAATGTTTTAGTTTTATTTTATCGTTTAAGTTACCTATATTTGCATATATAAGATTAATTAATAGTTAATACTCTTTTAAGTTATAAGAAGATTAAGGATTCTATACGTTAGGTTTAAGGTTAAGAAATAAATTAGTTTCGTTCTTAAGTTATAAATTTATTTTTATTATACTAATATTTTAAAAAAAGTCTTTTGTGTTATTATCTTAGCTATCTTTCGTAAATATACTCTTATTAATCGTACCTTATTTTCCATGGTATAATATATTTAATAGAGTTTAATTTCACGTACTTTTACGTCTCTTATACTTCTAGACTTATAATAAACTTCTTAGCTTAAATTATCTTAAAGTTTAATAAGTTTTATTAGGGTAAAGTTAGTTTTAATATTCTTAAGGTTTAAATAAGTAGTATTTATTAGAGCTTATAGATTTATATAATAGCTTATATAACCGGCTGCTTTTAATAAAGCCTTATTTAAAGAACGCCTAAGAAAAGCCGTAATAATATTACATTAAATCCGCTAGTTTATATATACCTAGTAAGTAGTTACATTTATATAGTATATAACTTATTAAAGTTATGCTTATATTATAACCGCTAAATAGAGTTAGTAAGCGAAATAGATAATAATTCTGTCTCTTCGTTAATACTAAAGTAGTGGTTATTAATAGCTTTTTTATTTAGCGTTTTATACGTAAAGACTCTTAAACGCGTTACTGTATATACCTATAAGAGAATTAGAAGTATTAGCTGTATTCTTTACCATTCGTTTAGAAAGATAAATGTATTATAAACCTAGTAATAATACTATACTAAATAAGTATTATTAATATCTATTATAGGCTTTTTATTAATTCAAGTGTTAAGCTTATATTAAATTATAAGATAACTATTAATATACTATTTTACGCGTAAGTATACATTTTATAACGGTATTTAGCTGTTAAAGTGGTAGTGCTCTTACATCGTTAATCTCTTTATTTATCTAGGCGTTAAAGTTTATACTAATAGATTTTCGGTAAACTTAAAAAAGAATTCTTTTATATGTATAAACTATACTTCTTTTACGTATTTTACGATATAAATCTAGCATTTACTTTAAAAATGTTATAATATCTTCTTTAAAGGCATTTTTAAGGTAGTTAATATTACTAATAGACAAGTAGTTATAATGTCTAAGAGAATTAGATATCGCATCGTAATGCCACATTCTGCTATTAACCTTATCCACTTTATCTTCACACCATGCATGTTAACTTTGGTTGTATTGGCATAACGCTTTTAAACAACGCTATATCTGGCAAGTCGCGTCCGCTTTAATCGATAGTATTCAGGGGGGTGTTGAGCGCGCGAGGATTTGTTTTTTATGGCTATAGTTGCAATGCTCTGTCAAGATGGAGAAGAATGCCCAATAGCTCATGGGAACAGCAGGCAAAGTGGTTGCCTTCTGGTCATATACTATTCAGCGCAAGCGCCGGGCTTATGGGTCCCGGGCGGAGTGGCGCTGACATGATGGGGTGGGGCCGGCTTAATTAAGCCCGGCGACTTCGCAAATTGTCCTCCAAAAGCGGCACCCCCATCCTCCAAAACCTGACACCACGACCTCCATAAATGGAGGCATATTTGCGGTGAACCTGTACTTTTGTCGTAAAGTAAGTACTTGTAATATTAAATTACTATACGAGTGATGAAGTAGACATAATTTTATCTCATAGTAGTAATCTTTTTATAAAAATACTCGCTTCTATTTAGCACTTATTACTGGACAACTAAATTAATTGATTACTATTCTCAAAGAGAACTAAGTATATTAGTAGTAATATACATCAATGACCTGAGCTTTTGGCGACAAGACTCATCAGCCTCTCGGCGATATCGACTGCGAAATCGTCATCGTTAATCTCGCGAGCATCTTCAACTACCCGAATACCGCTGCCTTTTAATCCAAACTTTAACGTCTCAAATAGAACGCTATCGGCACGGGAGTCTGCAAACGGTCCTGGTGGAATTGAAATGCTGCTCACAGCACCCATTGGACGCTAAACTTCCACCATGGAGACATCCTTGGCGAATTGGCGGAGTTCACTCACAATAAACATGGTCACATCAGCACATTCGGTGTCTGAGGTTCGCATGAGAGTAACGGCGGGGTTGTTTGTACAGTTTCCGGTGTTTGTAACATGGTGAAACCGTCTCGAGTGGCCCAAAGTTCACCATATCCGCAGCGCCAACGGATATAATGTTGGGTACGCCCCTTTTCAATGCGGCTTCCAAGCGATTGGGGTCGGCGCGCATGTTCCCACCAGCAAGAAGATCGCATATCTCTGTCGTGGTGAGGTCCAGAATAGCATCGAGCCTGCCTTCTTCCACTAGCCGTTCCATCGATTTCCCTCCATGTCTAGTGGCGTGGAAAACATATATCTCCACGTCATAGTGACTCTCTAGATGACGCCTGACATTATCCACGCATGAGGTCGTGACTCCAAACATTGTTATGCCAATTCTAGTTCTCCCCCTTCCGGTCGTCATCGTTCGTGGGTTTTCTCGTGCCAGTCTCCGTTCGTAGGAAAAGGCCATGCCAGCAATCGCGCCTGCTGCGTTCGAGAGAATCTCACATAGCAACTGATTTGTGCCGGCAATATCGACAACAGAGTACATGAGAGACATGTCTGTTTCCCCGACCACTGGGCCGGTACCACCCGATGCAACGGTACTGACAATGAGTTTGGAAAGGCCAAGAGGGACTGCGTCTCTCATTATGGCGGAGACAATGCTCGTACCTCCGGAACCGCCGGCTCCGATGATTGCGTGTATTTTGTCTATATGTAACAGGTCGCAAATGTATTTAGACACGCAGGGAATCACCTCATCAATTGCTTCGGCCCGGGGCCCGGGCAGAACATGACTGCCAGCTTCAGAATATTATTCCAGCAGTTGGGAACGTGATGTGCTGATGGCACAATCTGTCACATGCTCTCTACCACAGTCAACGAGTGTAATATGTGTTGGGGAAGGGAGACATTGAGATATGCTGGCGATGCCCTCACGAAGATACATGAACTCGTCCTCCTTAGTATCCAGCGTTCCAATTATGACAATGTGAGGCATTTTGAAATGAAATTGAGAAAGAGGTAGATGCGGGGGTGGTGTATGTTGTGGCCATGATTGCCGAAGCCACCAAAATGGGCTTGGTCACCACGCCTTACCGGTTCAATGCCGACGACGCCATCGCCATGACCCAGACGGGAGCGGATACTCTCGTCGCGTACATGGAATTAACGACCTCAGGAAAGATTGGGGCGAGAACAGCAAAGACTCTCGAGGCATGCGTTGACGAGATTCAAGAGATACGGGACGCGGCGGTTGCAATCAGAGAGGACGTCATCGTCTTGTGCCATGGTGGTCCCATCGCCAGGCCGAGGATGCGCAGTACATTCTCAAAAGCGTAAAGAGCCTTCATGGTCTCTATGGTGCTAGTTCCATCGAAAGGCTGCCGGTCGAGGTAGCTATACAGCGGGTTACTCAGAAATTCAAGGGGGTCAACTTATAATTGGTCAAATATTAGACGAGCAGGCCGTTTTTGCAGAAGCGCGAGGAGGAAAGTTGAATAGATGTAATAAATCTAGGTGCCGCTCGCGAAACGTTTTACTATTTTGCTTTCAGGCCTTAGTTTGCTACTTCTAACCCTAAGTAAAATTATGATAGTACTCCTATCCTGCTTCTTCAATACTAGACTACCTTCTATGCTTTAGTGCGTAAAGTCTGCTTAGTACTACTATCGCGAGTGGCAGATGCTCTCAAGACATCTTGGGAGACGAGGCCACACCAGTTGAATACACATACATACACATACACATACTTACTATAATTCATCTTGCTAGAATATACCAAGTAATTAGATATCGTTGCTAATTATGCGATGAGGCTTATGTCGCCTCCCATCAATTCTCCGGCCGTATGGCAGAGTTGGAGTGTGACCCGATGAATAGGCACCGGATTGATTAGACTCTGAGGCTCCAGAAGAAAGAGTCGTGAGGGTCCCATAAGACACGGCCCTCGCAAATCAAATACCAATGGAAAGAGACAATGGTGTTTCAATGGGCGGGTAAAGCTCGGCCTTGAAGTTTGTCTGCGGCAATTCTCACGCAGAATGGTCTTCAACAAGAAACGGCTCATGTCGCATTGTAGCCTAGCGGAGTGGAGGGCAATGGAGGGAAGATGACAATACACACACCTGCACAACCTTTGCATCTAGCTGACTGACCTATCCCAGATACCACTGGTGATTTCTCGTTGGCCCCTAAGACGGGACTAAGAGCCGTGTTCCTGATCAAAAATCATCCCCTCGGCGGATGGATACATGAGGAACATGAGTTAGCAAAGGGTCGCAACACCATAACCTCCTCGCTCGTATCATGATTACAAAAGTTGAGGATGAGGAGCGCTTAGACCCATTTCCAGCTAGAATGAACCAGACCCCACCATTTCTGTCGTGTTGGGTCGTAATTCAAGAAACCTTGGGAGTACATCTTGCCACGCCTTTGTCTTTTTGTTCCTAGCTAAGCAGATGTGTATTTCTGATAACAAGAATGCCAACCTGTAAACTCTCAGTCCACGATACACTTTATCACTACGCACTAATATCTTGAATGGATTGAGATCGCCACGAGTAAACACGGGCACACCCCAGTCACTATCCTGATGAGAGACCATGTTTCTAATCCCTTTCCAATTTTGATTGTCTTGGCGGTCTGGGTGATGGTCCGGTTGCAACCCTTCGCGGAGCCAACAGTGAAACTCCCAACTTGATGCACAAGGTCCGAGCCTGGGGTTTGTTTGGGGAATCCTAGAATCGCCCAATGTCCCGCCTGTACAGCTCTGGTTTCATGCCCGGGGGGGTTGAGAGCGCGAAGCTCTTTGATAGTTCGTCCAAGCTGCGTGAGGACGTTGCCAGGCTCCTCATCGGATAGTCTGCAAAGCGCCGCTGCGAGGGATTCGCCACGCATTTGTTGCACCCAGAAAGCTGGTATCATCCGGACGACCTGTATAGCCATGTCCAAAGGAAAATGTGTGGTTAATTAGCAAGGATCATAGTACAATGATAACCCCGGCAGAGAATACCAGAATCACGGAAAGATATCACCTGGAGCTAGACCGCTAGGAGGCAGAGTAAATACATATATGCTACAAGTAAACTCAACAGACATAATTCGATACAAGACAGATACTCGATACACATATGAATCTTTCGTGTACGTTCTCTTCTCTGCACACTGCGTCAAGCACGTCCATTGACATGCTATTTTTCCAACTTGGTCTGCAGCGGAGATAAAGTGCTTCATTGACAAGCGGCTCGACGATCATCCAGCGTCTTGAATTTGGCGATGACGTGTCGGTGCTGTTTCTCTGACGCCTCTGAATAATACATCTGATTGAAGTCTTCAATCAGATTCTGATAATTTTGCACGTTTTTACTTTGAGAATTTCGCGCAGTCGTCTTCCAATCTACCGACTGCCAAGTTTTACGTGCTATGGATATCGGGCTGACGCCTAGATTCTTCCTTATCATCTGGATGCCGTGGGGTCCCAGTTGCCTGCGCGCTTCGGGTGCTAAGAATTTGCCGGCATCACCCGCTCTTGCTGTCCGGATTTGGCTCAAGGTATCGTAAGATCGTTAAACACATCTTTGTTGTTGATCTTATCTGATTGGGTTATTTTGATTCTTCCATTGTCAGCCGTTATCCCCAATTTCAGGACCGTTTCTGGATATTTCGCACTGCCATCCTCGAGGATATTTTGTCTGAAGTAGTCTTTCACCTTACTAAGAGATGACTGTGGGCGCGACATGTAGGATATGTGACAATCGACGGTTCCTTGAGTGACAAGCTTACCGTTCTTTCAAACAACCCAGGCGTGGGGTACGTGCTGCTGGATCCATGCTTTACGAGTTCTGCGAACTTGCATCTGCCTCCATTCGCACCACGGCATGCCTGCCAATTATTTTTCTGCATAAGCTCTGACTTTTGTCCCAGCCACAGACCTGAAACCAACTGTTTGACCCGCATTTGGCTTCAGTGAGTCGACCTCGTAGGCTTGGAAAGCTCCCACTGTTTCCGGGCATCCCGCATATCCCCCGGCAAGGGCAGAGGCAGCAAGATAGCCAATAAGTATGAATAAAGTAGTTTGCATTGTTAAAATTGAGTTAAATTATATCCGATTGGGGGCTCTTAACTAAAGTAGAAGCAACGCAAAGACGGCATTTAGTTGCGAATCTTGTTAAAAGTCTGCGGACCAATATTACCAGGTCTTCCATCTACGCGGCCATTTTTTTCGTTCCATAACGCACTTACCAAAGCAAACCAGTCTGCTCCTTGCATTCGAGAACCTACCATCCAACCCTGTCCGATTACCACCCGTGACCTAACAAGCTTGATAGAGTAGGGTCCCCTTGTTCTATCAGCGATCCAAGCATTCTACGAGAGTTATTGTTAATAGATTATAAAGGTGTTAGCGAGGGGTAAAGAATATGAACTTCTGTATTTCTCCTCTTGGGAAATCAGGTACCTACTCCCCCAACATCTTTGCAACTCATACTGTATTGGTTGTTTGACCCCCCTGTGAAGTCACGGGTGGTTAATCAAACAGGGGCCGGAGTGTACATCGGAATGTGAAAATGCAACATTGAAACTATTGTGGGCTGAAACCACTTCTTTTCCGGTCAAATATTACTTCAATGTATGCTGGGCGGATTGGGGAGAGGGGCCGGACGCCAAGCATGCGGCCCAAGGGCTCAAATGTCTGGTTCTCTTTCTGACGGTACTTTTAGTTACAAGTCCCCAGACAAGAGTCCATCACCCAGTTCTTAAGCCGGTTGCTGGATCTATTGCCCTAGCTGTGCACCAGCACAAAAGAGGTTGCGCATTCAGGATACCAAGAACGAGGAACCGGTCTCCTTTCTCTTGCAATGACAACTTTAGACCTAGTTCTGGCTTCACGGCTATCTTCCCCTTACTTCTCAGGTTATTATCTCTCTCTCTCTCTTTTTCGACTCGCACGCTTTGACCGGCATTTTGCGTGAGCCAGTAAGGTCATTATATGGCTAGCAATACTCGTCCTCATTCTATCATTTTCCCGGCCAGTCTTGGGCAATGGGCATGCTCAGCCAGACGGTCCAACAGGGCTCTTAGAGCGGAGTGGCGAGAGTGTAGAGCTGTGCAAATGGCTTGAGGCCAATCAGCGACTGGAACCTGCGCTCAAGGCGTGCCCTGGCGTGCCCTTTGATGTGCTCAGATGCATTGAATGACAACACTGGCGCTGGATGGCTCTTGTCGTCTGATCCATCCCGACTCAAATGATGCAATGAGACGAAGCTACTTGACTTTTTCGTTAAAACCCGGGGTGTCGGGGATCATTGAGACGCAAAAATCGGCATCCGAACTTGCACTGCTGACTATGGCATAGACAAGTCTGCAGATCGGGGCGCAGGGATTTGTCCAAAACCGAACCATGTAATTGTTCAATCCACCGTTTCGTTGTCTCATTCTACACTCGGACAGAGCGCTAAAGTAAATAATTTAATTAACAAAGCTTCTATTATTTAAAATAATACAAGTTCTTACTACTTTAAGTTGTATTTATTTTTGAAACAAGTTAATATCATAGATCCGAGCTTAAAGCTCAGGTTTATATCATTAACCGGCGGGCTCATACCGGACCCGTGACAGATACGTTTTAGATAAAAGGGGATTTACTCTAGGAGAGCAGAGGGTAGATCTGCCCTTTTCCTTATTTGTTCTTGAATTTACTATTACTTTTAGTGACGCTTACGCGCAGGCGCACAATTCTTGGCGAGGAGGAGGACCAGCCAACCATGATGGAATGGATACATTATTCGTGGGAGCCGGCCCTAAGCGACGGGCCGAACGTTCCACGACTCTCCGTCTTACCCCAGCCTCGCTTCGTCCCGTGCCGGACTAGGCCAAATCTGGGCATCACGGCGTTCAAGTACAATGTACCCCAGCTCTCGGCCAAGCAACAACCGCCTCGAAGTTGCCCATGTGGAGGCGACTGAGGGGCCGCTTATGGCCTACAGAGCATCTACATCCCGGTTGGCTCTTATGACAGCGGTGCAGCCCAGCTCGAGACCAGAAAACAGCGTCTATTATTGGACGTGACTAACGACATTGAAAGTTGGTACGTATTCTGTACGGAGTACTCCGTACCACAACCCGACTTCTTTGTGTCCCGCCCCAGCCCAAAGCCTACTGATTGCGCCTTGCCGACAGTTCAGCTCGTTCGATATGCTCCTGCCATTGCCACTGCTGCTGTCGGAACAAGGCTCAAGTCTCGTGCATTGCCTTGCCGGAAATACGACCTCGTAGTGTACCATCCTGCGGTGGGATCTACATGACCTGAACCGACTTAAGTTTCAATGACGGCTCACTGCGATGCTGATGTGTTTCTTCATCAGATGGTCGCCGGCCGTAACATTGAAGAGTGTGCCGTCTCTGCATGGCCGTTCCTCCCACTTGATGCTCGTCCGTCCTGCAAAAAAGCACCTCTTCTTTTCCACTTTGCATCCCTCTTCCACCGAGATGACACTCCAGCGCAGAGGCCCCGGACAAACACTCGAGAAAAGAACAGCCTAACACGCAGCTCAGAACCCCCCCTTCGTCCAACAGAGGTAGGAGACGAACATGGCTCACTACCGCGATAGCCTCGTCGCCTGCACCGTCATCCTCCTCGTCTTCAACAGCGTTGCCGTGGCGGCCCGGTTGTACTCGCGGCTGCGCATCACGGAATCGTTTGGCGCCGACGACGTGATGCTGTGTTTGACTTATGTGAGGATTCGTGACGCCCCAGTTTGACCAAGCTAGTGCAAAGGACCTTTGCTCGGGCGGCTACATTCCCTCCGACATGACGGTCGTACTGATATCCGGCCTCTTGATTTAGTTGGGCTACATTGTCCTGTGCGGCCTCAGCTTCACGGCCTTGCACTACGGCTATGCGGCCGAGGACGACAAGCCGTACTCGACGCTGCAACCGTACTATAGTCCCGACAAGGCAAAGCAGGTTCGCAGCTCTCCACCATGGCAGACGTGCCGTTGCAAGCCTGCCCTCTGTCGCACCCAGACCTAGTCCGTTGACTGTCTACAGTTCTACTTCGCCAACCAGCTCGTCATCTACATCGACTCCGGTCTGATCAAGCTCGCTGTGGCGCTCGTGCTAATGCGCATCGCCACCACGAGGGCCGTACGATGGCTCCTCATCGGGTCCATGGGTGTCGTGGTCGTTTGGACCACCGTCATGACCATCTACTCGTCCCATCTCTGTGCCAAGGCCGGCACGAGCAACTACGCCGGGTCCAAGACGTGCAACATTGTTGGGTATTTCCGCACAACTACAAACATTGTCATTGATTATTTCTACGCGCTGCTGCCGGTGTATATCCTCTGGAATGTCAAGATGCGGTTGGTTTTGAAGCTGAGCGTCGTGTTTCTGCTGGGGCTGGGCATTTTGTGAGTCGCATGCCGCCGTGTACCCCTACCGGGTTGGCGTGTATAGCAGAGCCAACTCTCTTCGCTCGAGGCTGTTGAAAGTCGCCCACCAACTAACATGCCGTCCCTGCTCAAGTGCCAGCGCTTCCACCATTGTCAAGCTCGTCATCATCATCCGCCTCAACCACGCCGTGGGCGACGAGGCCCAGCACCTGCATTACCAGCTCCTCCTCTGGGCCGACGCCGAGCTGGGGCTGGCCATCTTGGCCGCCTCGCTGGCCGCCGTGCGCCCGCTGCTGGCCAGGCTTCACGTCCCCGGCCTGAACAAACACAGCGCGGACCGGTCGTCGTCGGCCCGCAAACCGGTCAGCAGCAGCGAGGCGATGGGCCCGTACAGGGAGATTCACGACGCGAATCCAGTAGTGAAGGGCGGAACGAATGCGAGCAAGAGCTGTGTCCAGCACCAAGTGGTGACTGACATTGAGAGTCACGAGATGGGGCCCTTGGAGCCGGGCAGCATGAGAGTAGGGGCTGAGCAATGACGGGTTCGTGGGCAGGGCTCCGATGAGCGTCACCGCGTTCGAAGCACCGACGTTGGTCAATACAGTTGATCCATGGTCGTCGCACGCGCATCAATGACAGTGGACACCAGACCTCTGCTTGGTTGTACTGTGCTGATGTAGATTTAGTGTATTCAAAGTAGAGCCTTGCCAGCCGGTGACAGTCTCATCCGACTACGTGGCTGCATCTTGCTGCAATACAAGCAAGCCGTCGGTTCCTTATGCCGACCGCAAGACCGTGTAACAAAAGCGTCGCTGATCTTTGGTCAGCAGAGGAACACAAATTAAATTCTATCGTGGATAAGATCAAGGAGAAAGAAAGAGTTGCATCTCAGAGAGACTATAACATGGATGATGCTATACTGCGCACGTCACGTCGCACAAACACATGCGACTTCATGTACGACGCGGCACGACTCATGTCAACCTCTCCACCTCCAACGCCGCCAAAATAAAAGCCGATTCCCCCAGCAAACTGTTCGGCAAGATCGGCCGCGTGGTGTAATACTCAAACGAGGCAGTCGAGTTCAAGCTACATACAGAAACCGTCTTATCAAACCCAATGGTGCCGTTGCCTGTATCCGTAATAAACCGGCGCAAAGTATACTCGTACGCCTTTAGCGCAGCCTTTTTATAGTCGGGCTGGTGTGATGCGGAAAGAAGCCCAATGCGTAGCGCTTTAAGCAAGGAGAATATAAAGAGGGCCGTGCTCGAGCTCTCGAGATAGTTTCCCTTTTTACCAGGCAGCGTAACGATTTGCCACCACGCGCCGGTCTCGGGGTCAGCGTGCTGGACGAGAGAATGGGATAGCTGGAGGGTAATGTCTTTGGTTAAGTTGCACAGCGGGACGAGTTGGGCACGTTGGACGGTCTGGCAGGATAGTTTATCCCAGGTTTGGACGAGAGAGGCGAGGAACCAGCCTAGGGAGCGCCCCCAGACGTATGGGCTTGCACCGGTGATCGCGTCTGCCCAGACGGCACGGCGGGAGTAGTCGTAGCCGTGGAATAAGAGTGACGTGTTTTTTTGGGTGCAGTGGTCGCGGAGTAGGTTCATTTGGAGAAGCATGTCTGTATGGTTCCTATGCGGGAGGGCAGACATGAATGGTAAGAGGGAGAACATGCCGTCTAGGTAGCTCCATTCTGGGTAGACGTAGTACCATAGCCCTCCATCGGGGTTTCTGGCCTGTAGTGCCAGGGAGGCATGAATTGCCTGGTAGGCTTTTTGGGATCGCGCAGTAATGGGAGAGATTTTTGATGTGAGTGCGGTGTGGATGGCTGTTGCGAGAGAGAATCGATCAAGTGGTTTCGTGGCAGCGATGGTGGCATTGGTTAGATTTGCCGAGGCAGTGTCTAGAACCAAGGAGAGGTAGTGGTTATAGTGGCATTTGGTATTTGGGTACAGAGTAATAATGTCCTCGATTGCCTGGGCGAGGATGCCACTCTCAAGAGTGCTGCTCGCTGCGCCCGAGTCGACGACGCCTTGTTTACGGGCGACGATGCTGTCGAGCATGAGGGTTGACATGCGTCGTTGCGACGCAGCGGCGGTTATGGCGAGGAGCCATGCTGTGCGAAGGAGATGCATTGGGATTCGAAATTGGGTTATGCGAGGGTTGGCTGAGGCTGGTGTGACTGTGCGAATCTACAATCTTTTTATATTGACATGAGAAGACGGAGTCAAAGGGCCAATATGCGTGGGGGTCAACTGGTATGGAGGAAACATACGGAGTAAATCAATGATGGTAAAGGGCTCTGGGGCTGAGCACTGCGCTGGGATCAATTATGGGCTCTGCACATGCTGTAGACACGTCTACAGTGGTGTCAAGTACATTCAATGTTGAACCAGCACAGACCCAGCCATCAATACCAGACTTGACTTGACTGCATGCTGTCAAGTGTCAACTGGTCAGTGCTCCCAGGTGCCATGTTAGTGCGTGCTGGTGCTAGTTGGCAGCCATTGTAGTGGAGCAGCCCAGCAGCCCAGGCCGACAGAGACTCAGCCCGTCTGGTCGACTCAACTCTCAAGTGCTCATCTGGTGGCCTCCTCGAGTGCCGGGCCCCTGATGCACCACCACGGCCGCCAGAGCGTCAAACCGCCAAATCAAACCAACGCCTCCCTATTCTTACCAGGCATATGAGACGTTGACCCGATATACCAAGAGGGTGTTTTCCGGTGCAACACCCGCTGGTACACGGCGTTTGTCGCGTCGCTCCAACGCGCAGCAGCCTCTGCCGTCGGCTCCGTCGTGTCCACGACCTCTTGTCACGGGTCAATCATCTCGTAATAGTCCATCTCCAAGCTCGGTCGCTTAGTTACAATCCAGTGAGGCTGTTCAGCGGCGCTGTCAAGTCTCTCTTGACGGGGTCGGTGATTCGGGCGCGGACCTTGTTTGCCCAAAAAAATGATAGAGCTCGGCGTTGGCAACCTTGTCGCCCGCAAAGTCCGGGAAGTTGCTGTTGGAAATGACAAACCTGCCCCTTGTCCAGAGGCGTTCGCAATGCGCTCGTCTCTCTGCTGGGCTGGGGTCCTCGAAGTTGTAGGGAACCCCTGTTTGGCTGTTTGTTATATTTGCCCTTTTCAAATAGCGCTTGGTGCGTGTTCTTCTTCTCCTCGCCCTCGTCGTCGGAGAAATCCCTCTTGCGCATCGGCACGGCCACACTTGGATTGCGTACGAATACCGTTAGCTGGCGTGCAGTCTTGCTTGGCTAGGTCCAGGAGCATCTGAAGCCCCGAAGCGCCTTGGCCGATGAATGCCACCTTTTTGCCCCTGACGCCGAATTCCTTGGGCCAGTTGGCGGGATGGATGCCAACTTGAGGCCCTTGGCCTGATTGGTTCCGGGGAATTCGGGAACATACACCTTGTTTGAAGTTCTCGTTGCCAAGGTTACATGACGCGCGGTTGCTTTGTGGCCTGCGTTGGTCATGAGAGTCTATTGATTTGAGCTGCCGTCATACTTGGCTTCAAGCACTTTGGCGTTGAAAATTGCGTCTCTGTGCAATTTTAGTCCCTCTACCAGGTGCTGAAAGGAGCTTTTGAGCTGCTCATGTCTGGGGGTGCTTTTGCCAAAAACCGAACGAATTCCACACCTGCAGTACTCCGTAGGTCGAGTTGGTAAAAGGGAGTTTCCGAGTCCACGCGAGCGCCGGGGTAGCTGTTGAAGTGCCACACTCCTCCGAAATCACTTCCGACCTCGAATAGTTTAACTGAGCATCCTTCGCTTCGTGCTTTATGGAGCGCGTAGCACCCCCCGAATCCAGCACCAACCACGATTACGTCGCTCTCCGCGAGCTGTTGTGCAGCCTGCGCATTGGGACCGACGGACCGTTGACAGGATGCTTCTCCATGACCAGAGACTTGGGATTCGACAAATGAACATCTTTGGAATAGAGGCTAGTAATGATTCAGCTTCTATTAGTTGTTGTGGCAACGTTGTTAGAATGAAGACTAATCAATACCGTTGCCGTAAAGATGCGAATAGAATTGACACTTGATATAGCAATCAACTGGGAATGAAACGCTAGAAAGACTAATACGAGAATATATCTTATTCTCGATGGATTTTATATTTGTCTCAATGCGGACACTCCCCGATTACGCAGGATAACGGACTTTCATATTCGACGTAACCGCCGGCACGGCCCGGCAAAAGCCTGAAGCAAGCACAAGTCTCTTTGTTGCTTCCGGATTCATTCAAGTCCCAACACAGTCCTGTCAAGACACTGGGGTGAGTGGGTAATAAATCATATGACCTGAAGCCGCGGCTTCCACGGTGTTTCTCAAAGTTTATAAATGACTTTGCATCGGTATTTGAAAGGTAAATTGCATAGGGACAAAATAAATCTCAGTTTTAGCTTTCCATTCCGAGTGTTGCAGTAAAAGTGCCACTGAGACCCTATTAGACTTGTACAATGGGCCTTCGAATGGATAAAGAATTCGCTGCTACACTTACACCACTCGTGCCAACTCTCGAGACTTTGCCAACGGTTCGTGTGCACGATATCCAGGCGAGGCGAGAGCTTCTTGCAAGCTTCAAGGGCGAGACAGACATACAACCAGGCGTTTCCCAACCCATCCACCATGTAAGAACACCAAACGGCTACTCGCTGCTAATCTGGCACTTATCCGCCCAAAAAAAATAAAAATAAAAATAATAAAAATAAAAATTGAACAAAGCTCGACAAAGAAAATCTGGCATATGTTGGAAAGTTTCTAGCCGCAAATGTGGACAAAATTCCATATCTACCCGGGATTTCCTCATGGCTTTGAGGGTCTAGCACCGGGCCATTCAGTTGAGAGAGATAAAAGAGAAGCGTGTCCAGCATCTTAGAAAGCTTTGAGAAGCGTCAAAACAGGTGGACGGTACATATTGGTAGAATCATGGAGCTGGGCTGTATTCTGAAACGTCCCAGCTGGAGGACTTTCATTGATCTACTCATCAATTCTTTGCACCTTGCGCATGCCGTAATCGCTGATCCTTGGCTAGCTTATAGAAGATCCATGCCCCCCAGAGCTGGGCCGCAGAAAATAAAAAGTGCAGAAAGGGCGTAACAATCTTGAGCGATAAGCTCCATTTGTCCCAAAGGCTTCCAAATAGCCACATGACAACAACGGTCTCGACTGTAGTTTCAACAAGCTCCAGCGTCATGGTAGTATAAAATAGTCGAGAGAGCAGTACATGCTTCGAGTTGTGAGTGCGGTAAATGATCATGGCGATGTGAGGCCAGAGTTCAGCCAAAACATCAAAAGCGCCTGTGTTTGCGTTAATGGGCCTTGTCGGCAGCGAAACCAAGGGAGACGATGACGAAAGAATCATACCCCAGATGAAGCAGAGAATGAACTCGTACACGGCATCGCTTTGGTGATCAAAGTCGATGCTCATGGCAATGGCCGACTGCGCAATAATGATTGCGCCAACATGGTGAGCGAAACTGATGGGCGAGATATTATCGCGGTAAAAGAGCTCGAAAATATACATGACGGTAAAGATTTGCGACGAGACAATCAACACGTCTCCAAGAGTCGTCGATGATCCTGGAGAGAAAGGCGTGTGCGGTGTTCCGTAGCCGACGAGGATAGCAAGCAGTGGGTAGGCCGTCACCATGACGAGCAAGATCTTGGATCCGGCAGCTACGTGATGGTTCACGAAGCTCCGTCGTTGAGCATCAGTAAGGTTCTTCAGGACTCGAGGCGAGTAGAGCTTGGGAATTATGACGAGGTCGAGGAGGTAGATGCGGATGGCGGCGAGAATGCAGGCAGCAATCGTCAGGATGAGGCCCGAGTAGGGCGCAATCTGTGAAACGAGCTGGTTGACCAGCTGTGCGAGATGCGGACCATGACTACCGGAGTGCTGATGCATTTTAGGGAGGAGCGTGTTAGGAAATGCAGCCGGTATCGAGATGGCGACGACATGAGAGAAAAAAAGGCAGACATGGGGATACTGGGAATGGAGAGAGGCCCCTGGCGCGTGTGCCTTGTACCCCAAGCTGATCTGCGTGACGATATTCGGATGTGACATGCCGAAGCCCCATTTTTTGTGCCTGTACCCCTTTTTCTCGAGACTAGGGTCGTCAAGCGGGGATGCAAGCTATTGGAGGCAGAAGAAATTTGGCATGCGGAGTACTCCGTAGATGGTGATGAAAGGGTTTGGGTGACGACTGGTGATGGCTTCAATGTTAGGAAACAATTGTCCGATGTCTCTGTGGTGTTCGCTTCCTTTCCACGAGTCGACGTGCCAAGACAGCCAAGCTTTTTGTTCCTGACCAACGGCCGCGATCACCAGTACTGCCCCATAATAAGTGGAGCGAATCGTCCCTTAGCAGTTACCCAAAGAGGCTGAGTGTGGCGCAAGCGGCTGGTAACTTCGAATTCGTACGGAGTACTCCGTAGTAGGTCAACATTACGCCGCAGCTTGAGACTTGAGAGTTATCACATGATAGCAGGCACCGTATCGAGTAGCTAGCTGGTAAAACTGAATGCTCATACAAGCCAGGCACTACATTAAGTAAGGCCCAATGAATTCACACCATGTGTCTGGCCCACCCAAACCAGAAAACGGTTATATACCGCGTCATTTGATTCATATTTCATAGTATATCCATAACTTGCCAGTCTAGGTCACCTTTATCTCAGGATATTACGCTTGTCAATTATCTAGACATACTTTTAGAACCACTCGACCATCTCGGCCGGCTTGTCAGCAAAATAATTCTAACCATCGAACCGCCTAGTCGTGTCTTCGATCCAAATCAACTTCTTGCCCTTACTACCAAGGTGTTACACGGAAATGGCTGGTTACACAAGGGCTACGGTCACGAGACCTAGGGCAAAGTCCCTCACCGACTTCTTGTATTTATAGACACCTTTGGTCCCTCAAGGCCTTGAGGAAAACCAAGGACCTTTGATACCAAAGACTGTTATTAGATGAATTGAGCTATTAGCTCCAAGCCCTCCTTGAGCCCTTGTCACACAAGGGCATTAAAAATCTCCTGGCTATCTTTCGTATCGATTAGAGCGTTCTTGCGAACCTGCACAAAGAGAGTCGGGACGGAAACATTCTTGGCCAGCGGGACAAGGCTCAGCTCTTTCAAGCGGAAGCCAGTCAGTTCGTGGATTCGCTTATCAAAAGCCTGGACGGTTGTGGCAACATCAAGGTTGGCGTTGATGGCGCCCTTCTCCACGAAGGCGTGTCCAGAGACTGCTTGCAGCAGGATCAGAGCCTGGATGTCCGTAAAGTACTTGGGGAAATGCGCCATGGCATGGATGGTGGAGTTGCTGCCCATGCACCGGCTCAAAAGACCATTGCTGTTGTCTCTAGTCTCCGGATGCGAGCGAGCGTACTGAAAAGAGCCAACGACATCGCGAGCCTCGTAACATCCGAGCGCGCCACAGACGGCGCCGGAGCCCCGATCGCTAATGCTGTGGTTGCGAAGGTCATAACAAATAATGTGAAAACCAGCATCGTGGAGAGCCTTGTAGTCCGGCAAGAAGTTCACTTGGGAGTCCCCAAGCCCCCCGTAACCCTCTAAATGGCCCGGATATCCGTAGCGGTTGCACGTCATGGGGTGGTTGGCAATGATGAGCTTCTTGGAGTTGGCGGCGGGGATGAACCAGCCCTGCAGGATAGTGCCGTCGAGCCAAGGGAGGAAGATGTCCTTGTATCCATGCCCGTACTCGCTTGGTCGGCGAAGGATAGGGGAACGCTGACCATTTTTGAACAGCTGGGCGTAGGTTTCAACGAGCTGGCTCACGGCTTCTGGAATTGGGTTGGCGCTGACGGTTGGCAGCGCAGCCCAGGCTACAGCGGCCACAAGGAGATTGCCGTCACATGGTATGACAAGGATATAATAAAGAGTGTAGGAATGCGGGAGCGAATGCTTAACGAGAGGATTGCTGCTGTTCAAGAGCCCGTAGCAACCAGTCAAGCGGACGATGTCGGGAATTAAATGCAACTTCGAGTCTAACTGCCATCTATAAAAGGACCCCTATACTTGGCATAAAAGAATATTGTTACGAAACCATCCATTTCCTTGTCTTTCTGCATGGGAACAGGCCGAGCTGTGCTAATATAATCTTGACTCCCCCCTTTTCCTTTTTTTCTCCTTTTTTTTTTTCACGTGCCTTGTACCAGAAAATGCACTGTAATCTGTCCAGAGTCATTCAACGTACATCAACTCATAGTATACCAGACGTATTGCAGAATCGCCTCGTAGTTTGCGGTCCATGCAGCTCCATATTATGTTTCTACCCATTGTCGCGACTCATGCCCGAGAATTCAGTAATGGCGCGCGGCCTTGAAGCAGTTTTCTCACATATTGTCAGGCCAAATAGTAATGGCTGCCGAAAATCCATTTTTCTTATTCGAAACACCAACAACTGCATGGGGCCGGACCGCAATTCATCGTGCCAAGCATTGCCTCTGTATTGCTATTATTCATCGAGAACCAGCGAAGCGGGAAAGCAAGCTCTGTAAAGTACAATTATCGTACACAGATTGATAATTCAATCCAGAACCATCTAATGGCGCAATGACGTACTACGTGGCCGATATGCAAATGCTTCGAGTAAGCCAAATAAGAATTAATCTAGCTGCAAACGCCATGATAAGCCAAGTCTGTAGGCCGGGTCTGTTAGGACTGTGCTAGAGATGAATTCATGCTAGTAGCAAATGTCTTGTTCGGATACAAAGCTCAAGACTAGACCGGAACCACGGAGTCATGCTAGATTCGTCAGTCAGTCTCAGTGTGTCAACGGAATATAAGGGGATATAATTGCTGTTCAATTAGAGCGCGTTCTTTTAATGACACACAGTCTTGCGAATGGGCCTAGCATGTCAACTACTTGTCTATTTTAAAGTTGGGGCTGTCCAGCAGCACACGCGCCTTTGAGCCCTACTCTCCGAGAACATTACTGAGTTGGGCCGAAGTCTCACCGTACCCCTATAATTAGGCAGTCCTTACAACGGCATTCTTGACTATTAGCCAGGTGCTAGCGGCGCAGAAATATAGGGCTTATAGCATCTCGCAATGTGCTCTGTTCAAAGCGGGCCAGCCATACATGCCAGTCATGTGCAACTATCGCCAACTGGCAGTCTTGAAGGGTGGATAACGCTGACTTCTGGTTAGGGTTGGGCAATCTCAACCGGCTCGTCATAATCAAGGAGCCTGATAACCCCCTCGGTACGATGGGCGAATTCCTCGGAATGCTCCCACTGACTCTTCAACCAGCCCTTGAAAGCTGCTGGTCGTGAACGATGCGGTTGGGGGACCCAAGAGAGAAACTCGTTTGGACATGGGCCCCAAAAGTGATACCGCGGGCTAATAGGGCGTGTCGTTTCTTGCCTTTTATATCGGCAGTTGGGTCGGCCGAAGACGACGGAATGATTGAAGTCAATCAATAGAACTCGAGGACTTTCGACATCCGCGGTCGTTGATTCCAAAAGAATGTTTCTAGGGGCAAAGTCGTTATGCCGCACACCATGAAACGCGATCTTGCATTCAGCTTCCATGGCCCTAGCGAGCACGGAAAGGCGTTGCTCAGGAGAAAAGCAATTGAGCTGGTGGCTCTCAATTAAAGCATGCATGCTGACGCCTTGAATCCATTCCATCAGAATCATCCGGACAGATCGCACATCCTGAGAAGGTTGAAGAGCCATATCAAACGTCCAAGACCCGTAATATTTAGGCACGAGGAGGCCATCAACTGCGGCTTCGCTTAGACACTCGTACGCAGCAGCTTCGCGGCTAGTATATTGAGTATTAAAAAGGGGTGACCTTAACGATGGATTATTCACTTGCTGCATTTTTTGATAGTTTGCAACTGAAGTAAACCTAATATTGTAATGTTAACATACATCCCGGACTGTTTTACCCGGACGTTACTACCGTCTCGGACACCAACTCGGATACCAACACTATCCTCGGTCTCATCGATTCAGATGGATCATGCAGTTCCCTCACAGTGAAGCATCGGGCGGTATTAGTACAAGTGTTGTGCTTATTTTGTCAGGGAATTGCTACCAAGGTTCTTACAGAACCCTATCGGTCATAGAATTGGGAAAAGTTCCCCTGGATTTAAGTATACTAGTCCGCAAATGATGTACCATTGCAGGAAGTCCTAGATTTTCGCGGCCCTATAAATCAAGTTAGAAAAGTTAGAAATATAATTACAAATAGTACTTCCATCATTAGGTTCGAGCCTTTGTTCCCGTCACAAGGTAGCAGTCACCTTGGCCGGATGATATGAGAAATATGAATTGATACAAGTCCTTAATAAAGTCACAACGGAGGGCATTATCATCCCCCAATAAAAGGGGCGCTTTGCTTTCACACGATGTTGTTATTCGTACTATCTGATCCCGCGCTCTTTTCGCTACGCAGTTCAATCCCTTCATGAAGGCTGCATTACTGTAACTGTAACTGCTGCAGACTTACTATCCGATTCATACCAGTCCACATTGGGGGCCAAAAATGGCAAACACAACTGGATATTTCGGCAGACGAGTCGGGGAATGGACAAACAGAAGCCGACAGGACCGCATTCTCGAGACCTCACCATTGTCTACGTAAGAATGACGCAACGGTAAGCCGTTGGTAGGCAGGTAAGCAGGTTGGTGAGATAACTCACATACAAACCCAGTGATGCGCCCGTATTGGGCGCCTGTTCTGAGTACGAGTTCACCTCTGCCCATCAACTTGGATCGCATCTGTACACACCACATAAGCCGCATGGTCGCCTTGCAGACCAAATTCTTTCACAGCGGATGGGTGATTGGATTGGACTGCCAAATCACGCCGCCTTCGTCACATCGACGGCGACGGCGATGGCCGAGGAGTCTGTCTATAAATCAGTTTTCCGGTTTCCCAGACCTGCAGCCACAAGTCCTCTCTAATCCGAGACAATCCAGCTCTAGACCCTGTGCTAATGTACGAAGTACCTACCTGGTAGTTAACCATCAAGGTGCCGGCCGTCCCTATCAACCCGAGAGCGTATGGAGTATGAAGTACTCGAACGTTGACGCCTTGGTCGCTCTGTCCTATGGGTGGATAATTGGCCTGATGCAGTTAAAGACAAGGAGATATAACCGGGCACCTGGGGTTACGAGCTTGCCACAAGCGCCAGGCCTGACCTGCACGTCATTACTGCTCTCTTGGTATCTGCTTAGCTTACATACATATACTCTGGGCCGTATGCTGCTGACCAAACTTGGTGATAACTGTCCAACATTCCCTTTCCGCTACTTGGCTTGCGTAGAGTCAACAACGCGCAATCACGGAAACTCCCCAAGTTGACGTCTCCAAAGGTCGGAATGGCCAATTGCCGGGAACCCATTCGTTTCGAATTGGGAGTTGTGCGCACGCTTGCTACCCTCCAGACTGTCTCAGATAACCCTTTGCCGTTCACCACGGCCTCCCCGCATGCTGCATTGTAAGCAAAATGGCACAAACCCCGAGGTGTGGCACACCTTGGCCCCCTACGGCTGTGATCTCTCCAAACATTTTCTAGGGTTGACGTACGGGAGTACCTAGCCATCAATAAACTCGTTGAATTCCAGGGCGGTGGTCCCGTGGGACGAAGAGCCTCACGAAGGCCCATATTGTTTTGTCGCTTGTCTAGACGGATGGGATCTCCTCAGTCTCCTTCGGCCAGCGTGCTGCTGAGACCTGGGTCCTAGTGAACTACTTCGAGGCTTCCTGTTCCTTCTCTTTCCCCCGTAGTATGATCATATCCCGGGAGCACCAATCTTTACAGCCGATTACCAATGTCTTGCCCAGAGAAGCCCAAAATAAATCTCCGTACTACGTCACCCTGACAGTTGTCAGGGAGTCGTCGACCAAATACACAGTCGTCGTCCTCGGCACCGTCTCAGACAAGCCGCCCAGAGTTCTCCCTACTGCAACACTGACACCGACACCGACACCGCAGACCCCTACGAGCAACGGCGATGACGACAGCAGCTACAATGACTCCTCCCGGACCGCTCTCATCATCGTCGGCGTGCTTCTTGGCCTCTTGATCCTGGGCTTATTGTGGTGTTGCTGCTACGGTCCCAGCTGCACCAGCGAGAAGGAAGTGGTCGGAGGGGGCTGCTACGAGACACGTAGCAGACGTAGACAAGAACGAGGCGGAAGAGATGGCAGGGATGGAAGAGATGGTCGCGATGGTCGCGATGGACGTGATGGACGAGACGGACGAAACGGACGAGATGGCCGAGACGGAAGAGATGGGAGAGATGGGAGAGATGGGAGAGACGGGCATCATGATCGAGACGACCTGCCTACCCCGCCGATTTCGCCGGATGTGCCTTACGATGCCGGTATGGTAATGGCTGATGATCGAGCAGAAGCAAGCCGGCGCGGGTCTCGTCTCGGCCACGGTCGTCAATGGTAACTCCTGATTACAAGTAACACAATCTCCGATGCGGATCTGGTTACGGTGGCTCGCATATAGGTACTGTGTATTCATGCTACGATTGGCGTCCATCTCCGTACAATTGCATGTGTGGCGCCATTAACCTATGTCGAACGTCGAACCATTATACCTCCATGTCCCTCTCTAGATCCTTAATTATCTTTGCCCAAACCCTCCGTAGCTTACTGGGAATCTGAGTCTTCGCTGTCCTTTGGTGACGAGGACGAGGAGGAGGAGTCCTCCTCGCCCTCTTCCACCGTCACCACCGCTGGAGACTTCCGGCCCGGTTCGCGGACTAAATAATGCTTCTGGTCTATTGACCCTTCAGCGACCTCCGGCGGTGTCTTCGATCCTTTACCGGAGCGGATTTTCGTTGTCACGTCTTCATGACCCTGGCTTTTGTCTGATGTACTCCTTGCTTTCGAGCTCCCATCTTTGCGTTTCTCCCGCTTGGAGCCTTTCTTTTGTTTCGACCCGCTACTTCCATCGTCGGGGCTTCTTTTCCCGTCTTTACGCCCTGCTCGCTTCGTTCGACCGCCGGCCTTGCTGCTCCGCTTGGTATCTTGGCCCACAACGCGCGAACTGTCGGCCGTGCCTGAGCCTTGGAACGTGCTGTTACTTAATAAATTGGGACTAGATCCGGCGCGGGGTCGTTGCGGAGGTCTCTCATCTTCCCTCGGACTACATGGTAGAAAAGCCAACGGTTGGCTTTCTTGCGCAACCCATGAGGAGTATCGTCGAAAGCTCTGCGGATAGTCGGTCCAGGACGGGGTTCCATAGGGACCCAGCGGCGTGCTCTGCATAAAATTGGACCTTCGGACATTCTCACCATCGTAGACATCATAGACTATGACTGTAGGCTTGGAAATGTTGACAGTGGCATTGTTGTCAGTGACGTGTCGATCTAGCCCGGGATAAAGACAAAGAAGCGCACCCTCGCTGTCTTCCTTGCCGGAGAGGAGTAGCCACTGCGTGAGATTCATCAGGTCCCAATGCGAGACGTCGTCTGGAAGACTGCCGCGAACGAGGTTTCTCGGGTATACCATCTCAAACCTATCCTTGGAGCATCTCAGGTCGCGATGCAAGTCGGCCGCCAGTTTCACCAGCTCTTTCAGACTCTGATAGTGCGTCGATCTTGTCGAGAAGGGCCGCAACGGCCACACCTCGAGCTGACTCCGCATCTCGTTCGATATCAACTCCATCTGCGCGGCCCTACCCTTTTTAAATATGGCGGTTTTTGCCAGTGCTGTCATGGTCTGCGACATCCATCTCTGGGCCCTCTCTGGCAAATATTTCGTCAAGTCAGCATGCACCATGTGTGCGAATTGCAGGACCACTAACCCTTGTCCATCGTCTTGATCACCTCTAAAAACATTTGCTCGGAACGTTCGTCGATGCCGATTGGAAACGATCTGCGCAAGATGTATTTCTGGAGACCCGACCAAACGCCCAGGAAGAGGACGACATGTAGGGCTGTGGGATGAAGCCCGAGCCAGTGAGCCCATACAATGTCGTCGGGAGTAAATGCAGTGCTCGCGTCATCAGTTTCCGCTGTCTTTCCATTTACAGAGAGGAGGTACATTAGTTTTCTCATTCCGGGACGATCGTTACCGCCGTCCACGGCCTGCCGCACCACATCCTGATGACCGTTCCTCAATAGATCGTGGCGAACCTTGTTAACCCAGGTTCTAATGGCTTGTTGTAGCCCCTGGAATCTGCGCCTGGCTTGACTGTCCGTGATCTCATCTTTTTCTCTTTGTCCTTGGAGAATCATCAGTTTACTCACAAGACGGTTATACCTTTCCTCTAGTTCATCGACCCCATCAGCTCCTTGCTGTTGAGGCCAAAAGTCCGCTCCTTCCTCGTCGTTCATCTTTGAGCGTGATCCCTCCGCATGTAGTTGGGGATCCGAGGAACCGTTAAAGGAGAGGCTATAATGCTTTTTGTTAATGCTTCAAGATTCATTCATAAATATTTTCTGACTGTGAGAAGATATCGGCCCAACACTGGTCAGGTTCCTTGGGTGATTTCCTGGCAAAGCGTGAGAGCCCAATGCAGGCTTGAAGTCGTTGTCACGCAGCCGGGGAACGGCCGGTACAATAGGAGGAGGGAAAGCCACAAAAGCCCCCTAGCCAGTTGTAGCAAAGCCCTCGCTCCCTATGCAAGAAGCCTAAACCGGTATTATCCCCGAGGTGGTGTGGGCATGGGTGTGTGTGACCTCGACATGACCTTGGTCGTCTCCATGCTACGAGGCAGCAGAGGGTTGGCTATGTGACACAGCTGCAGTCATGCGGAGACTCAGCACTCCCATTTCTAATTCGTTGCCTCGTCTGTCTGAGGTCCCCCATGCTGACGGGCACTCATATTGAAAATCTTTTGCGAAGTAGGCCGTAGCACGAAGTAGTCATCATACAGGCGCTGACGCCGGCCGTAGCTAGGCAGACACCAGACCGTGCGGTTTAAAATACCGCCGGTTAACCCACAGCCTCATGGATTATCACTTTATAAGCCCTCCTCATCACTTCTGTCATCGGAATTTCTACCGCTGCCTCTTGACCTCCAGCCCGCACAAAGGCAGACTTCGTACTAGGCAAGATGCCAGCCCAATCAGTTTGGCCTGTCTCCAATTCGTCGTCGTCCAGGACGAAGAATTTCAACAGGAGGGTATCAGCTACACCCTCCGTGAAGTTCCTCGTCGCAATTGATTTTGGTAATATTTGTTCCTTGCATATCTTATTCAGCTTTATCACGCTTGACGCCGGTTCTGATAAAATCCATGTCCACAGGAACGACGCTCTCCTATGTGGCTTATATGAACATCGCAGACGTAGGTAAACGTAAATAATAGAGAACCATGATATTTGTCTCTAATACAAAAGGTCATACTATAGCCCAGCAACGAAAACATCGTCTCAAAGTGGGACAACGTTCAAGAAAAACACGTACCAACGTATGTTCTTGTTCGGTTCAGGAGTCGTGAAGGGTAGGCTAACCTTGATAAAAGTGTCTTGAAGTATGATAACGGTGGAACCAGCGGCTTGTTCAAATGGGGCCACGGGGCATTAAAGTCGCTTAAGCCCGGCGAAAGGCTTCACGAATGGTTCAAGTTGGGGTTACATCGCGAGGTTCAAGAAAATCTTGCCGCGGAATCCGACTTCATCCACATGTTCCCGAGCTCGACCGCTCTGCCTCCCGTCAAGGGAGACGATTGTGAGAGACTCGTCATCCACTACCTCAAAAGTCTCAACACTGCCATCCACAAGTATCTCACGGAGAATCTCTTCCTAGGAGAAAACGTGCCTATCCAGAAAGAATACATCATGACTATACCCGCCATGTGGAGCGACAGCGCAAAACAAACAACAGCAAGGTGTGCCCAGAGAGCACTCAACCTCATCGGAGACGACGAGCAAAAGCTTCAAGTTATCGCAGAACCTCAAGCCGCAGGCATATACGCACTGACCAACATGCGCAACACTGGGTTGCGCGAAGGTCACACATGCATCATCTGCGACGCTGGTGGAGGGTATGTTTTTCTGTCCCATGGAATAACCCTTCGATCGTTACATCTTAGCAGAAAAGCCACAACTGAAGTCTGACAACCTTGCGTGAGAATAACAGGACAGTCGACCTCTCGTCATATCGAGTCCAATCTCTGAAACCATCCGTCTCATTGCTGCAAGTGGCAAAAGCTTCGGGCGGGCTTTGCGGAAGTAGCTTTTTGAACAGAATCTTCGAAGACTACCTAAAGAATAGGCTACATGGTCATGTCAAGAGATGGGGTGAGCGGGAAACGCGATGGTTGAAGTCGGCGGTGAATAAATGGTTTGAGCAAGACGTCAAACCTCATTTCTCTGGTAAAGACGACGAGAATGCTTACTATGAAACCTACGGGCTGGGCGATAATATAGGTATTCCAAATGATATTCTTGAAATATCTGGTAAAGATATCCGGGAGAAGATCTTTGATCCTGTCATCAGGAGAATTCAGATCCTCGTTCGAGACCAAATCACCGTCACTGTCAACGAGGGTGAGAAAGTGACAGCTGTCTTGCTTGCTGGTGGGTTTGGAAATAATGCCTACCTAAGGACCAGTCTTGAAAGCATCTGTAGAGACAGATCAGTGGTTGTTCATGCTATCCATGAGAGGTAGGCAGTGGCTCTTATTAAAGACGTTTTTCCCCTCAGAGCTAACATGCCCAGCGAGCTCGCAATCGTGAGAGGCGCGTTGATATATGGTCGCGCAAAAGCGTTTATGCAGAGGCGTGCAGAGGCAATGGCGTCAGGGTCAATCAATGAAGAAACTGAATATAAGGACGAACTCGATCCCGGCATCATCATGTCAGACGTCCCCGCAATGCGTTCACCCGCGCACGTCGGTGTTGTCCGATACGAGAAATATGACCCCAACAAACACTTGGGCGATTATGACCTGTCTACATTGTAGGTCTCTGTCCTTCCGCAACTTGAAACTATCAGCTAAGCGTAACTAGAAAAAGAGACTCATCTGGTGCCCCGAGGGTCGAAGTGATGGAATGGTTCGTCCATAAGGTGTGTATCCCCTTTTGACTCGGATACGTGTTAACGGCGCAATGCTAATCAATTACTGATGATGTGAAGGGGGATGAATTGAGAGAAGATGAACCAAAGACCTATCCTTTACGTTGGGAGAGGGAAGCCAAAAATGGTGACGGAGAGCGTCTCGAGATCATTAGCAAGGTCTTTTCCTACGAAGGCAAGACACCTCCGAAGTACCCGGACTCGCCCGTTCACCCCAATCCCGGTATGTGTCTCTACAGCCCCAAATCTAAAAAACCAACTGTCAGCCGCGTTCTTCTGACGGTTCTTAAAGATATGACGAATCCTTTAGCAACCCTCAAGATCGTATTCAAGAATGGGCTGCCTAAGCATCCGCGGAACAACCGCTTTTGGTATGATGAGAGGTTTGTGGTCAACATGGTACAAGGCTCAGCCAAAACCATCTTCTTCCTTGTTCATGATGGAAAGAAGCATGATATTCAGGAAGTCATGTTTTCTAAATGAGGGAGCTGTACGAGGGATGGACATCCTCAGCGCCTGATTACAAGTATGGTGCTGATGGGCGTGCTAATCGATTGCATCCCCAACTCGATTAGCTGGTGGAAGTGATTTGACTAGTTAAAACGCTTGAATTGTCATATCTCGGTAGTAACCTGTTGTTTGAATAGCAGATGTCGATAAATGCTCTATTGTGCGCATAGGTGCTAGAGTGGTTGCATTATTCATGCAAATTAAGTAACACCATATATGTATGCCCTTTCCAAAGACTTTTTAGAAAAGACGTCGCATTGTTCTCGGCATATCAATCACTAATTCGGTATATATAAACCGAAGCATTTGGCACTAATAATGACTTGGCCGCGATATCACACAGCAGTTTAGAGCCGGTATCTAGGTAATGTAGCATCCAATGTTTCCGGGAATAGATCTCGGAGTTTATTAATTTCAGTTGCAGCCGTTATTGTATACGAAATTTGAGTCATGATACCTCGAGATCTGGTCCAGTGGACGGGGAAGATTGTGCCAGGCCTAGGTGCGGGTGTCCCTCCTCCCACTTCCACGCGTAATACAGCCCTAAGCACCGGAAAATACAACATGAGTATTAGAAGAAAGGACGCCAACAAGAGGAACGTGTTTTGATTCTAAGTAAATACTACCACTGATATTCGTTCACAAAAAAAACCATAATGGTAAAGTTCTTGCAAAGAGACCTCTTTCTAATGATGAAGAGTGCAGGCAAAAGCTTAATCTATCGCCGTCTAAACCACACGATTTATAAGGTAGAATAAAATCCAGTAGTCTATTCCAGGTGTCAACTACATGAGCTCGTCGCTCCGACTCCAACTATCGGATAACCCTTTCTATATAGGAGAATTGGCCCAGCAGGGAGCCAGGTTTAGTATCCTTCTTGTTGTTGTTACTTGCTGAAAGATAGCATGTGGCCCTCGTCATTTTCCCATACAAATCCTCTTCAAGAGTATCAATATCATCGGCGCCGATAGACCGTCCTCAATACAACTGAATGGTAGAGGCGAGCCCGGCAAACTGGGAGTAGGCCGTTCATTTCCTGTCTCTATTCAATCATGGGTAAGCGAGGCGAACTTGGCACAACAGGAGTAAGCCGCTTATTTCTCGTCACTGTTCCATTGCCGTTATTACCCCCAGTTTCGCCTTTTTCTAGCTGGTCAGCCGCTTCCTCTAATTGCTTCGCGTAGTCCATTATTTGCTTCGCCTGGTCTCGATATATCTGGGCTTGTTGCTGGGCGGCACTTTTCTCCCCTACGGGGGTTCTCTTGGCAATCTTGACTTCAGCGCCACCTCCAGTATTGGGCACCGCAAAGGTAGAAGTGGCAACTTAAAGAGAGTCTAGTTAGCAGTTGGTTCCAGTCCTGCGTCGCAATACGGTGGTGCATCCAAAGCACACAAAAGGATTACGAGAGCTTAGAAACAACGATATACGTACGTGCCATAAGTGTCATAACAGCGATGCGAACCATTTTAAATGGCTTTTTAGGGTCCCTCAAACTTGTATAAAAGGGAGAGGGAATGAGATTACGGGGTAGGAAGCACGATTATAAGAGAGACCAAAGAATTAGTGACTGGTTAGGTAAAGAGACCAAGCTATGACAGCATGGGGGAGGTAAAGCGTTCATTACTAGTAGATTTGGCTGGCCTTTTATACTCCGCCTACTGGCCTTTAACTCTATGGCCGTAAGGCTTATGGAGACCTGACCCATCGTCATTCTCTGCATAAATTGTAATGCCGCGCGGTACAAGTGACGGTGATGGGTCAGTATAATGTATATTAGCAGTCTCATGCATACCGTACGACTCAAGTTGAGGCTCAGCTCGCTAGTGCACCGCGAACGTTAATGCAGGTATAGAAACAAGGAGCGGCAGAGTTTCACGAGCCGCAAAGGTCCTGGGTCTTACAAAGTCTGAAACAGGACGACCCACTCACTTGCTTACCAAGTCGAATACGTGGTGCCCCGGCTGAAGATGGTGTGCTGGTGTTGCCGGTGAGGTGGATACAAGAGCTTATGCGTTTCCATCAATCGAGACAGCTCTTTCTAACAATCAGGGTGTTCTAAGCTCTAGGTGTTATTAGGAGGAAGTAGTGGTAGTAGTCTAGCAAACGGTATACTTGTTTACAGTTAGGATGCAGTCTATCCTTATAGAAAAGGAAATGTTGAGCTAGTAATACGACATGTCATATAATACATATTCTATATCCGACTCTTCTCAAAGGGGCTCTAACTAGGTAATGTCATGATAGCAAAGTATGAAGGTAATTCAGAATGTCCCGTTGTCGCCTGACACGCGTGGGATAATGTGAAACACAATTCCATTTATAATTGGATCTTGCCTACTTGTGGCATGACGCATTGCCGTAACACAGCCGCAACATAAGCCAATAGGTTATACGCATTTCCACCAGACTGCCTGACATGACTTGTGCCTGTATGCCTTATGCTGAGCCTGTGTTGGCTTGTTTACCAGTTCATGCCACTATCGTGCAGCGACAGACGGCACACCGCAATGGTTTGATGTTACTCTGGCAAACTTTAACCCGCTGTATCCTACTTCTTCAGCATAGGCACACATTGAACTCCGACTGGGTTTTTATTTCGGTGTTAAGTTACTTGAACAAAGCCGCTTCCTCGCCAACACCCAGCATCGGTACATCCATATCCGCCAAGCTTATCCTCCACTTGAGAGCTCTTGGATTCTCCTCAATTCTGAAACAACACACTCAGCTTCGGAATCAAATAATCAGTTTTATTAGTAGCTATTATTTTACTCTCACTAGCTGCTAGATGTAAATTTCCCTTGACCTGTCCCAAATATACTATAATTAACGTGCTCACTAAAGCCCCATGAATCAAAGTAGACTTCTTAGGCCATCATTCCTGAATATCCCTGTTAAACCACAGGAAAGCCTAAATATTATAACCCCGCTTGACTCGCATCCGATGACAATGGTAGATCCCGATACCGCCCAGTAGTAAGGGCGAAATTCCACTGGCAGCCGGAGCATATTTTCTCCATTGAACGTGATCCAGAATTTATCTTGGCTAATGCTATAGGCGGCGTAATATTCAGGTGAAGAAGGATTCCGACCATCTATAGGAGACACAGAAGGCGTACCACGTATAGTACAAAAGCTGTGAGTAATTAGTAAACGCGCATTGTCTGCTTCAGATGACGAAATATTTGTTTTGATGCCAACGCTGATTTCCTCCACGAATTCCCCGGTCTCCACGCTCCAGATCCGGCTCATCTTATTGTTAGAGGCTGAGGCTATGAGTGTTTGATCGCACGAGAAGGCTGCCGAGATTACCCAGCTACGATAGCCTGTGAGAGTTTGCTTACACTTGCCCGTATCTACACACTAGACTTGTACTATCCCTTTATTAGAGCCTGAGACGACGAGAGTTGATGTCACACGGTTACACGAGAGCTACGATCACGGGACCTACGGCAAAGACCCTCACTGACTTCTGTATTTATAGAGAGACCTTTGGTCCCTCAAGGACTTGAAAAACGAAGGACCTTTGATACCAAAGACTGTTATTAGATGAATAGAGCTATTCCTTCAAGCCCTCCTTGAGCCCTTGTGACAGCTGAGTCGTGTGAGAAGGCTGTTGTGTTCACTGCACTGCTCTGGCCCTCAGGGCTTTCAAGGGTCTGCGTGTGCTCGCCCGTCGCGCTGAAAGCGGGCTCGCCATCCGAACCAGTAACTCAATGGTCGATTGGTCAGGCCAGGATTCTCGTAACTTTCCATCCTCCCGAACCGAAGCATTGTATTCGTCTCGGGCGTTTGCAAGCTCGTGCTATAGAAAATGCTGATATATCGTGCTCAAATATGGTTTCAGGTATTTGATGGAGTACCAGGTCCTGATGTGTTCCCCCGATCCTACTAACTCCAAGACGAATTGGCAGTTCTGGTGGGCTAATTAAGAAAATTCCTAGGCCCGCGGTCTCCAACATATTAGTACGAGAGAAAAGATGAATCAAAACCTTGATATCATCCTGTCGTTTGCACTCTAGTGCGTCAACAATGACAATGGTGGAATCGTTCCTGATCTCTGGCGCGATCATTGATAAAGGTCCCAAGATAAACCTGTCGAACTGCTCTCGCATTACCTTCCTCAGGGTGGCTGGTCGGTATCAATAGCATTCTTCATGTGGAGAGAGATAGCTGGCTTCCTCGCTATGAGATCCACCGCAATTGTTGAGAAGAACTTGCTCAGAACCCCTCTATCAGCTTCCCCCTCTAAAACTCTTAGTGGAGAAGCTGGCCCCAAGGCGATGGCCTTTGTTGAAGTTGTGGGCAACCGTACGGGCTATGGTTGACCGTTGTTGAGGGTGGTCACGTGATGAGGGTTCAGCCTCGCGCGATGCCTACAGCATCGCACATTCCCGGCTTATTAGCCTTGTTATTAGTTCGGCTAAGACAGTTTAATGTAATTACTATTTTATTAGCCTTACCTCTCTTTACAGGTTATAAGCTCTCTTGCTTTTAGGCCCTCTCGCTCTTAAAGCATTATTATAAACCTTTTATTAACTCTTTTTATCTTTATCTTTTATTAATTTAAGTATTATAAGTAATAATTAAGGTTATAAACCGTTTATTATAACTTATATATATAACCTACGTATAAAACATTATAATTAATTAATTATAGTATTATTAAATAATAAGAATCTTAACTTATAGTATATTATAAGCCTTTTTAAGAGACGAGAAGCTATAAAGAGCCTTATAAAACGTAAAAGAGACGAGAAGAAAGCTATTAAGAAGATTAAGGCTAGTAAAGCTTTTAAATTCATGCTTAAAGCCTTTATTAATTATTAATAGCTTACCTTTCTTAAGCTTTATTATTAAAAAAAATAATAACCGCTAAAATTAAACTTAAAACCTCCTTAAAACGGTAATTTATAGTAAATTTAGCCTTATTAAAGCTATTACCTTAATTATATAATTATAGTAAAAACACTAG